GTATTTTAACACACAATTATTTAAGACATTATTGACGAGGTGGATTTAAACGCCAAGAAAATATTGTTGGCATTTTTCCAGTTAAACATATCGTTGTTTCACTCAATATATTTTTAATGCTTCTCTTATCTTGAGTAAAGAATACGAATTTGTGTTAGAAGGCTAGAATATTTTCGAATTTGTTCGATGGATTATTTATTACTTTTTATTTTGCGATTTTTATAAAGTTATTCGATGGTTTTGTTGTTTTATATCTCATACGTAGTTGTATAGTGTATATCACAGTGTACTGGACAACAATTATAGAATAATGAAATATATCAGAAGGGGATTATTATCCATACAGTTTGTCATTTGATTTTATTAATAATATTATTTTTTATATTGGTTTAAGATAAATATTTAAAAACACATATCTAGTTATAATATGATTTTAATAATACTTAAATTTCTTTACTGTACTCGTGATATGATGATGTAATACTTCTAGATTTTCCTTTTGTTATAATATTATATAGGTAGGTAAATAACTACCTATCTTATACAGTGTGGAAGTTAGGTTTTAATTTGTGAAGTCTAATCTTACCAAAATGTATTTCAATATTAAATAATAGAAAGTATATTGAAAATATATATTATTATATTGGATATTGGGAATTATAAGTCTAAATGAGTATTTTTACATTTCTGTTTTGAAACCTTGGGTATCAAAAGTTTTGTAGTAGATACAACAGTGCAATAGTGGTATCTGCTTGTATTTTCAAGTCACGTAAAATATTATCAGTTAATCAATTTTTCTTTTGGTTATTTAAATAGCTCAGTACGTGTCAAATATTTTTGTTGACATTTCTGTAGTGTCTACAATATAAACTATAAAAGCATTAAAATCTATAATAGTAAAGTATATCAATATATTTCCCTTTATTCTGAGTTTGATTATTGATTCATTAACTTATAATGCGTACAGTGATTTATCTAACAATCTTATTTTAAAATTTCACTGCAGTAATAATTTTCCGTCACTTATCATTATATTCGCTATATTATGTTAGGTAGGTTACCTATCCTCGTTACGTTACCTATGTTACGTTTTTTTTATGTGGACAATACTGTATATTTTTTACGCCAAGTTTTTATAAATAATTATTTATTTAGGTTATATTTTTATTTTTAGATACTGAGCGGAGCGATGAATGTATTGGTTTTACAGTGATGTGTTTTTTTTATATTCACTTATTTCTTTGTGCGTCTGTCATCACGTTTTAGAGCATAGATAATACTTATATATTTTAATTTTAAGGGGTGTTTCTGATTTTCCAAATTGTATCTTGGTTTTTTTCGGAAGTTGGTGAAATTGCTTGCACTTTTTTTAATAATCGAGAAAATAAAATAAAAAATACGAAAAAAAGATATACACACAATCAGTTCATGATTCAATTGATTTTGCTTTCTTTGTCTTAATTAAAAATGAATTACCGCAGATATATGAAATTTTTATAAAATATTTATATCAGATTTTACAGACATGGTGTTATAATATTCAAAATATTAAGGCTCTTTAAAATACATTTAGAGACATTTTGAATTGTTGACTATTTCAATGTATATTGTACCATTTTTTTAAAGTAAAAAAGTTTGAAAATTGAACACATTGTTACCTATAAGTTGTACTTAAAGCAATAAAAAGTATCGAAAATACATATTCATTATTAACAATAATTCAAAATCACTAAAATATGTAAATTATTTTGTAGTTAAAAATGCATTAAATGTTTAATTTGGAGATCTAAAATGTATATAGTATAATTTTAATACAAGATTGCTTATAAATTATTCTTACTGTAATTAAAAAAAACAGTAAAGTGTAAAGCCCATTCATTTTTCATGAGCGTTTGAAAATCAAATTTGAATGTACCTAATTGGATATTTTATACAAGAAATAATAATTATACTGCATTCTGGGTAAAAATTAGTCAAACCTACTTTATTACTGTACTAATAGTATATTATATTGCTACTAAAAGTTATAATTTTCAGTTTTCCTCAGATTGGTTTATCGTATGCAATGATAGTTTATCATTGAATTTAAATTCAACATTTCACCCATTATAGTAACCTCGATGACGATAGACACTCGAAATCTTTTTTACAGCAGTACGAGTGTACGACTTCCGCAGTTTTTAGTCTTATAAATACATATTTAGAAAAGTTATAACTAATGTTAGCAGTTAGCAAATAAATAGATAATTTTTTACAAACCGTCAAAATCGACCGTTCCGGAACCATCAGAATCGATTTCCTCTATCATCATATCTAGATCTTCATTTGTTATTTTGTCGTCTAATTCTTTGAGTATTTCTCTTAAAACATCCGTGGTAATGTATCCATTTCCTGGTGTGAGATATTAAGTTTAATTTAATTTGAAATTATAAAATGTTATTTTTTTCATTAAACCTTCTTTATCATATAATCTAAACGCTTCTTTCAGTTCGGCTTGCATAGCCTCCACGTCTTCTGGTTCATCTTCAGTTAGGAATCCAGCTGCTAGTGTAACAAATTCTTCGAATTCTAACTGTCCCGATCCTAAACAACAGTACAAAATGTTTTTGGCCTTTAAAACCAGTTAGTTACTCGGTTCTTACTATAATATAATATATTTTGTGATGATTTGAGTAATGCATATTTGGTACATATTAAATTCATTTCGTACCCAATTTTTTTTAACTAATGGAGATTAATGTATGACATAAAACACAAATATGGATTTTAGGTGTACCTACTTTTAAATAAATCTGAATTTGAATAAATGTAATAATACATTTTAGAAAGAGGGTGAGCATGCTTAGTGAATTTACCCGTGTAAGATGTACAATCAGTGAGTATAAATATAAATACATCTAACATTTTTCTATGTTAGATATATTTATCTAGCATTTTTCTAAATGTTCCTAATGACCTAAAAATACTTAAATTTACGAATAGCAAATACAAAAGTATAAAACTTTTGCAGTTGAAATACATAAGTATAAAATCATGTAGTTGAAATACAAAATACAAAATTTGTATTTTCAAAATTGAAAAAATATTTTATGGTCGAATCCTTTTAAACATCATACAAATTGGTTATAATTATATTAAGGTTGTAAATTATAACTTAAAAAAAAAAATGTGGTGTTGTAATCATTTCATGGTTCAATGGTTATCACTTAATTTCTAGCAAAATAAGTATGCTGAACACAATATTTAGGCGGACAATGTTTTTTTTATTTTTTATATATTGCATGATGGTTTATTAGCCGTTTTTTACTGTGTTGAATGGTATGATTGGCTCGGAATACGTGTATGTGTGGCAAGGATTTGTTACTAAAAATCTCGGGCGGTCACCCATCTGGAAACTAGTAACACCGGTACGTACAATCAGAGTTCGTACGCAACCGAATGTAGACACGGCGTCACAATTAGACAATGTTGTATAATTGATAATGGACATCGGGATTGTGCAAAAGATAAATACAAGTTGAACACAAGCTTAAGTAATTGGTTTGGACAATTATTTAAAAATACTTTATTTTAAGTACTGTTAATCCCTTTCAATAAGTATAACTAATAATCATATAAACGAAGTTAAGCGGACATCATTCTCGCATTTGGTGTTTTCGTCTTAGGATAAAAAAATATTCCCGTCGTAACAAAGACAATCTTGTGTTCAGAAGAATCTATTTTATTTTGTAATTTTTAAAATTACAGTGAATTGACCTATTATAAAATTTAAAGTTAAGAATATTATCCAGGGCCCCTAGCTTTTTAAATATTTTAATTTTAAAGCAAGTATAAGTATGTACAAAATTACAATCTAAAAATGCTCCTAACTTGTTATAAAATAAAAATATAAAAAAAAACTGGCTAGGAAGTAACATAACTATATTTTTACCTTTAAATTTGATAATAAGTTAATTCACGGTAATATTAAAACTAACAACAAAAAATAGATTTTCTGAACTCTAATTTGGGTTGTTGTACGTTTATAATACGAAGACAACACATGCGAGTATCACATTTTATTTACATAGGAGGGGCTACTGTCTATAACCTAGCTATAATATTTTATGGTAGCTACTTACTATTTCTTTATAATTCAATTGTATTTTTAAATAATAATTGTAAGTACTAAAATATATATATATTTTATTTGAAGTTATATAAATATGACATTTATTATATTTTTCAATAGTTACCGTGTAATTTAATTAATAATTATATATATCCATTTTGAAAATAATGATTTTTGTGATTTAAATCTATTTATAATTTATTTATTGTATATTTACATGACTAAATTTGTAGTTATTTGTAGTCCTTTCTTCCCACATCAGAGGAGAGAATGCATAGAAAAAAAATATTATTGAAACTTTGCCAAAAATAATTTGTTTGTCTATCAATATTTTTGTGTCTGATTAAGTTTCATACTTCCAGACTCCAATATTGTTTTTGTTTGTTACAATAATAGATTTTAAATATTGTGTGGGGCAATTTTTAACCATTTGATCCACCAAAATATTCAGGTGAATCAAATTATTTAGATAAATATCATGTATATTGTATACTACCGTATATAAATAAAACACTAAAAATTGGCACTTAATAGTGATCTGTTGACCTGTAAGTTAATGGATCGTACATATAGATGCTTACATATTTTTGTTGTATAATTCATAAAAAATTATGACAAAAGTGTATAAAGAATCATTTTATTTTGTGATTGGGAAATTTGGTTCCAGGTAAATAAAATGTTAAATTATTATAATTTAAGTAAAATTTATGAAAAACGAAAACATCAATTTTAAATGTAACTCTTAAATTTATTTAAAAGTTACTGAAGGAACCAAATATGGCTAGACATAATGTAGGGGTATATTTTATATATTTTTGTAATAATAATAATAATAAGTTATTTATAATTAAAATATTAATTCAAAACATTTGTTTCTTTTTATTTACAGGTAAGTGTCTTAAGTTAGCAAATCAACAAAAACAGAAATCATCAGTCATATTTTGGGTAATCTAAACCAAATTTTGCTATAATTATCATAGACATAACAATTAAAGTATGTAATACCATAATGGTATAATAGAAAAATAATCTGTCTTAAAAGTTATATACCTCAAGATAATGTAGATATACTTTTATAAAATATGTATTAGTGTTAGTTACTTGCATTTTAACTTATATTAATTGAGTTTCTGATTATATGAATAAATATGATAATTAAATAATTTACCATCCGCATCGACCTCAGCAATAATTTCTTGTAATCGGTCCTCAGAAACGTCGTGACCCAACATTTGAAGAATTGTACCAACCATGTTGGCTTCAATATATCCCTTGTCTTGAGCGAAAGCATCGAAAGCTCGTTTTAGTACTAAGGTATAAATATTTCCATTATTAAAGTGTTCAATACAACTTTTTTTAGGTATGTAAATATTATATACATTTATATGTATATTTTAAATCAATTATACTTACAAGCTATTTGGTCTTTGTCTAGATCGTCCTAAAAGCCAGAAAATAATTTTAATGGGTAATTAAAATCTATTTCATAAGCAATTGTGTGAATTAAAATGACTGAACTATAGTTTAATAGTAGGTACTTACTTTGGTAACCATTTTTGTCGATTAAAAATATTTCTATAAAATAGAGCTGTTGTTCTTTTGAGTGAACTGAGTTGTAAGGAGCAGCTAAATATTAAGGTGACTAGCAGAACTCAGAGGGACTGACGCATAGACGTCATAAAATGAAGTGGTCCCAAGCCAAGTACCAACAGTCTCCCACCTGATTGTTCAAGTTAAAATTACGCCCATGTATTGTCTCTTCCCTTAAAAGTTAATTTTACTCATTCTTTTAAATTCCACTGTTCAATCGCTTAATATTCTTACGCAGATTTATAAGTTGTGTAATTTATTACACTTGTATCACTCTTGCTTTAAAATGGGCTTTTAAGTATTATATGAACTAAATAATGACTGTTAGTATATTACACTACTTATTATAACGTATATCATGTGTATATTATGTATATCATGTATGAAATTTCATATATGACTTATGCATTACGATAGTGCATTATACGTATGAATATATGTATTTTATATCTATAGACTATAGACTATAATAACAACTATAAGTTGTTGTTTAATTTATTTTTTTCTGTTACCTATAAAAATTTAGCGTATGTTTTATCTTATTAGATGAAATTGAAGTAAATTTTATAAATAAGTCGCATATTGGACACTATTTTGGCACTACATTATGGATCGACCGCGTTTAAATTTAAATGTCATTTGGCGTACACACAATGGGGACATATTGTATCGATTGTTATTCACCCAAAACCATGTATGTGGTTTGTACGCATCTAGAATTATTATTTATTTACTCGGTCCTTAATTTTCTACCTACCATTGTCAACTAGAATCTTGAATCGTAATTTACATTACTGTCGTATACATGACTCATCTTACATTACCTACTTTTTAATTATATATATACATATTATTTTAAACATATATAAACAGGCAATAGTAGGTATAATATATCTACATATTATTATTTTTAGGGTATGAGAAAATATTTTTATTTTACATATGCAATATAAACATTTTAACTTAGGAAACTGGGTCATTTGACTGTCCTGGGCGTTAATGCAATGTCATATATTATATATTCGTATATCGTCATTTAAAACAATATCAATATACTTTAAGAAACATAAATTTACCGAGATCACTGTTTCTTTATAAAATAATCACTCTATATTCATATGCATATACTTAAATTCTTGTACAGGTTGAAAAACTTATTAGCTAAGTGTGATTTTTCCATTTTTACTATTAAAACAATTTAAAAAATAATTTATACTAATATAAATATAATATGTTGAATTATAGTGTAAACACTTATGATTTATGAACTAGCATAATGATAGTTGTAATAAGAAAATCTATAGTGCCTACTTCTATTTTGACACTCTTCTTAATTAACTTATGGTAAAATTGTATACAAATATAGTAGAGATTGTATGAATTTTACCGATACATTGATGAAATCAATACATTCTTAATATGTTTATTTGTTTTTATTTTATTTTTATTTAAATTGATAAAAGCCAAACTGAATAATATTTCCGTCCTAACATAGACAATTTTATGTTTAGAAGAATCCATTTTACTCTGTTATTTTAAATATTACAGCGAATTGACGTATTATAAAATTTAAAGTTAAGAATATTATCCAGGGTCCTTAGCTTTTTAAATATTTTAAAGTAAGTATTAGTGTGTATGGCATTACAATTTAAAAATGCTCCTAATTTGCTATAAAATAAAAATAAAAATAAAAAAACTGGCTAGGAAGTAACTTAAATTATATTTTTACCTTTAAATTTGATAGTTAGTCAACTCACGGTAATATTAAAACTAAAAAACAAATAATAGATTTTCTGAACGCTAATTTGGTATGTTGTACTTTTATAATACGGAGACATACACCTTTGGTTTTTAGTAAATACGAGAGAATTTATACATTAACATAATACATTAAAATATAAAATACGATTTTACGATATTTTTCTAGATATTTGTAAACATAAATGTGAAAACATTGGAATAATTATTAATTACTAATTAACGTTTTGGATTAATTATGTTGACGATGGACATTACATTTTGCTCAGGTATAAATAACTTTAAAGTAATCAATGTTCTTTATAATACAATCTCATCTTTTGATTGACATCTTATTTCATCATTTAAAAACTTTCAGTAATACACATATATAGGTTGAATGTGTGGGAAGTTATAACAAAAACCTAATGAAATGTATTAAATGTTGGTTGTTTAAATTAGTTACGCTTTTAAAATTTACTATAGAAATGTACGTTTGTTTTTGTAATTTGGTGTATATGTTGGAATGTTGTTAAATTTGTATTCTTAAAACAATTATATCATAAGAAGATCGGAAGTAATTTTCAATATTATTTTAATTTTACTATTAATATTATATGAAAGTCTTACTTATACCTGGATATATAGTCTAAATAATATTGTTTGCTTATATTATTATAATTAATATTGTAGACAGTAACCAATTTGAATTTTATTTTATAATACTGCAGCAGTGATGATAATTTAAATGTATACGGTTTAAGAAAAATACATTGAATAGAATTTTTACTTTTAGCGATTTTTATTTTTGCTGTTTATTTTTCGCAATTTTTTCACGTTTTAACTGGCACCCGTAGACAGTATATGCAATATGCACCATGTTGGATTCTGTTGCGTTGCAACTATACGATAAATGCTGAGCTGTTTTATTCATCGATTTGGTACATTTGTACTCCTGTGTACACGGTATTTGCAGAACTCTCCATTTAATTTTATGTTCTATAATTCCGGTTGACTCACAGTAGGTAATAATAATATGAGCCATTATATGGTGGTAGATAGTGGTTTACACAAGACAAAGTTTTACGATGTATTTTATCACATAAAACGTATAGTTGCTCTTTTACCTATTAAAAACCCTCTTGTTCCACATACTGTTGAGTTCCTTTCTCTCTAGTTTTAACTCGGACTAGGTAATTGTTTATAATGCTCCTAATGTATAATACAACATGTAATGACATTAACTGCAATATTGTATTTAGAATTGTTTAATCATAGGAACAATTATTTTATGTACGGCTGTATCAGATAATTTAATGACGGCGAATTAACAAAACTAAGTTGTGTGATATGTGTTTCTTGAGATTTAAGTTTGTCTTAAATTAAATTAAATTAATTTTATACGAACAATAAAAGATTATCTTTAAATAATATTTTTAAACGGCGTTATTCGTTTTAAAATAAGATAAATAAATAATCTAACCAGGTATTAATGTTTTTAAGCATTTGTTATATTTTATTTTAGTTCTCTTTTAATTATATAGTTTAAATGAAACATATACCTGAATCACACTTTTCGGACTTAAATAATACATTATAGAGTATAAGTAACTTTAAAGCTGCTGTAATGATTAAAAAAACTGACAATGTGGGTAATGATTACAATTTGCATTATTTTTTATTTAGCTTTTAGTATTAAACTATTAATCTGCATTATAAATAGTATTTAAATAATATCCTTTTTATTATTTAATTATTATTTTTTTCAACACGTATAGTATACGTCGTATACCTACTTTTATGTTATGAAACTTAACATCAATAAAATAGGTTTGTTAAAGGTAAAATATCGGCTGCGAGAACCACTATAAAAACGATTTCGAACTCTTAACTGAAATGGATTACCAAAGTTTCTCAATTTGTGATAGTGAACCTATTTAAAAGAAGAAAAACAATTAGGCCACTTTTGTATGTTCGCGTTCGCATTGTCTTCATTCGACTCGGCTTGGCTATTACCGCCTCGTCTATAGTATTATTATCCTTTGTCCTTTTGTTCTTGCTATTGATTCGTAGGACACAATATCATGGCCAAAGAAAAAATCCCTACGTCTAACATACAATTAATAGAAAATTCTTGATTGCCCCTTTTTGTATTATTAGCATAGCTTTTAAATTCTACGGTCACAATATTTTTACGTGGGTGCTTACCTACTTTATTTGAAAACTTAAGATTATAATTTTTTTTATAACACTTTCAAATCATTTATGCTATAAACCGTTGTTAAATAAATAGTAGGTACATGGTAGAATTTAAACCAAAATAAATATTCTTAAGTTATTTAATGTTTTTTAAGAAATATTTAATTTTAAAGTATTCAGTTAACACAAATTAAATGTATTTGACATTTTGAAACTGTATTGCGTATTTATCATGATAAAAAACCACTGGAAATTGGACATTAATTCAATATCAAAAATTAAAAAGTATATTTTATTTTAATATATTAATGTATTGTTTCGTTTATATAGTTGTTACTTGTTAGATATAGTTATTTTTTATCTATTAAAAAATAAGAATATATTTTTATACGAATAAACACAAATGTATATTTTGAGACACTTTCAAATCGTATAGCCCCCAATGGTTGACCTTTTCGACCACGAGCCCGATTCTTTAGAGAGCCAGATTTATTGTGCTATACATTTTAATTTTAAATTATTGATAGGGTTTATAGGGGAAAGAGAAAAAAAAAATAATTGTGAACACTGATTTAAGATGGTAGATAGTTTTTCTATATTTAAATTTTGTTGCC